CCCCCCCCGCCGGGGGGGGGGGCGAGGGGGCCCGCCATTTTATGGCTCGGCGCTGCGGCGGTGCCGTGCAGCCAGAAACACGGAACAAACAACTTCAGAAACGAGGGGAAAAATTACAAAAGCAGTCAAAAGCAAATCACAGCCTCTGCATTACCCCAAACCCATCTTGCAAATAGTGGGGTTCAACATTTTAAGTAAAGTTAGAGGGCCAAACAATAGCAATGTTAAGAGTCACCATGTGTACTGAATTTGTATCGCTTCAATACTCCAGACTGCAGGTGTTTCAACACAACTTCAGAAACGAGGGGAAAAATTACAAAAGCAGTCAAAAGCAAATCACAGCCTCTGCATTACCCCAAACCCATCTTGCAAATAGTGGGGTTCAACATTTTAAGTAAAGTTAGAGGGCCAAACAATAGCAATGTTAAGAGTCACCATGTGTACTGAATTTGTATCGCTTCAATACTCCAGACTGCAGGTGTTTCAACTTGGATTTAGATGATGGCCTTCGTTCTGGGAAATGCCAAGAGGCTAACGAAGATGGGTGGGACCAATCATGAAGATATATGTAGCACTGCCTGCTTTCATGAGCTTTTTTTTTGGAGTGTTTATATTTAGAAGTTATACCTCAAATATGAGGGGGAAAAAAAAAAAAAGCAAAGCAACAACAAAAAATACCCTGGGTGCCTTTGGAAAGGGAATATCTGTCTTCCAAGACAGATTCCATTCATTTCTAGGTATGCAAGCTGTGTTTGTTTGTTTGTTTTTAATATATGTGCAGTATAAAAAAGGATTTTTGATTGTGCCGTTGTAGTGCTAAGAGGATACATTTTTTTTCACATCCTTTCCTCATAGATATATGCTACTTAGAGAAGACTAGAAAGCCTGTGTTTATGTGCTTGCCAACATACCACTCTTGTGAATGTGGGTTACTGCCATGAATTTGAACAGCAATACATCATTATATTAGTTGCTACATAAAACATCTGCTTTGAAAAATGGGGAAGGAGAGTAATTAAGGAGCAATAAGAAGGGATTATTCGTTGCATAAGATTGTGTTTAGATGCAAAAATCTCTATTCAAGAAGAAGCAGAACCACATGACACAGTGAGGAATTTTTTAAATATTTAAAGAGTATCAAAGGAAAGAATTTGCATAAATCGTTGCTCCTCCTTCCTCTTTAATTTTATTTCTTGTGAAGGATTTAATCTATGAATTATAAAACAAATGGTAGTATCGGTGAACTCGGAAGATCTCTAGGTGCGTTTATAAACACTCCAAAAAACACTTAAGTTAATAAGCAATAGATTTGTGCTGAGATTTTTTCCTATACCTGTCAGCAGTACTGACACCTCCAATCCCCACTTTCTCTGTAGATTGTATTTATTCAGCTGTCTGCTTGTTCTGTCCTTATTATAATCTGTACTAAATTGTTGTCTCACAGACCTGCATTTCCCCCTGGAAGCTTCTGTATTAAATGCGTATCACCAACCAGTCCATACCTTATATTAGTTTAAAAGCTGATGAAAAAAACTTGTACTAGCACATGTACTTACTTTCAAAACACAGACTTGAAAACGGAATACCTTTATCCTGTTAACAGGCTCCATGAATGTTGTTCAATCTGAAGCAGGTGTTTGAGGAAAAACAAGCAGGCAGATCTTAGAGTAGCAGGCTAATATGCCTTAGGTCTAAGCTTTTAATTCACATCCATTTTTGATATCCAGAGTTTTGGGGTATGGTTTAAAAAAAAATCCATTACCATAATTGGTTGGGTTTCCCAGGTTATCTTCTTCATCTTTGACATATAAATATATATATTTTGCATATGACTTGGAAATATTTTTTCCATATATTTTTCTTAATGCTCCTCATTTTTTCTTCACCAAAAGTATTTCCCCTCTTTAACTGTAAGGAAAAAGCTAGATAAATAAAAGCCAGATAAATAAAGTAGATAATTTCTGGTATCTATTTTTTGTGATCTTGATGAAAGAAAGAAGTACAAGGCTGTGAAATTCTATGCATTTCCAAGCAGATCATGCTGATTACTGAAACAATAACTGAACCAAGATACAGGTCATTCGACATACTCAATCCTATTATATGAGAGGGAACAGGTTTATTTCAATATTGAAATGACATGTACTTAATGAAAACATTTTTTATTAGCATAAACTCCTCCCCCCTTTTTTTAAATATGCTGTAAAATGGGATCTGAGGAGACATAATGACTACCACCTAGAACACTTTATTTATTTATTTTTGCAAGATAAAATATTTTGCAGAACAGTTACAATTAGGACTTTTCTTCCTCCGGTCATGAAGTTAGGATGAATTGCTGATAATTGAGATAGAAACCACAAGCTTAAGCAGTTGCAAAATGCCCATTAATGAAGGGAAAAGGCTGAAAATAGGTACTAAGAGGCATTACATAATTGATATTAATTACATATTTCTAGCAAAGCTATAGATTAGCAGCAGTATCTAAATATGGTAATTTACCCATCCTGTTTTCCTCTCTAATTTCTCAATTGTAAAACTATTTATTTTCATAACTGTAATGTTAGCTAAATTAACTTGCCTTACATATGACAGGTCTGTTTCATTAGCAAAATGAGTATTCTGAATTTTAAAAATGTATTGCATATGAAATAGAGAACAATATTAAAAACAACACAGAAAAAGGAAGCCAAAAACGAAGATGCAATATGTTTAATATGAAGAGTAGAAAACCTAGAAATGAAAGAAGGCAGAGAATTTACTTTTATTTTATTTTATTTTATTTTATTTTATTTTATTTTATTTTATTTTATTTTATTTTATTTTATTTTATTTTAATCTTAGTTTATGAAGGTAACTTTCTTTGCTTCCAAAAAGCCCAGATAATATGCTGGAAAGTAAAACAGGGCTGTGAAATGAATTATCCTATGGAAACAGCTATAGAGCTGTTATAGACATGAACACTATAAGGCCGTTTGTGAGACAAAGTTGTTAGGTGACGTGATATCTTTTATTATTTTGTTTTGTAGTGGTTGTAAAATTAATCAAGGCTTCAGATGTGTAAGCCTTTCTTTAGGTCTGAAATTGATGCAGTAAATGTTTAAGATAAATACAACCCAAAAATAATTGATGTGAGGCACCGTTTAAGGGACAATTCCTCCCCTGCCCCCGGCCGCGAATTTTTGCGTGGATGAGTTCATAGATTCAGTTCCTTATATTGCTGCACAAAAATTTGTGCTGACCTATGGAAAAGTGTGAAACAAATGTAACAAAATACAAAAATGTAAGGGATAAAATTAGTACTTTTCTTGGCAGCAGCATATATTTATATTGGCAAAAAAGAATTTTGTCTAAATACAACTTTAGTACTGAATATAGATGATTATCACCTAAAGAAAATTGAAGGATTATTTGGCATTACAGCACGATAAAATTATTACATGAGATAAATCGAAGTCTTTACTGAGTTCATGATTATTAGTAGATATTAGTAGATTATTAGTAGCAATAGTATTACTATAGAAAATAAGTAAGCAAAGTTAATAATTTTAGTTTCCAGGATCATCCTTGATGATATTTGAGACAAAATATTATTGTGGTGTTTTTCACAGTATGTGTTGTTTTTTAATAAATTTCAATTTAGCTTGGTATGCTATAAACAAGAGGATACAGTCATTGGGGTTTTCCTTTGCACTGTGATATTTTCACACACAAAAGTCTTCCTGACATTACTGCTTCACAAGCATAACACATCTTTTCTTTAGTGTTGTGTAATTAACATATGCAGTTATACTTACTATTCTCAACCTGAATTGATTTTTTTTTTTTTGCTTCTGGTTCAGATCTGAAAGAAGTTTTATAGGCCCAGATTTGGAAAGTTTGTTTAAGGTTTAAAAGTTAGCT